TATCTCCTGTTTGACCACTTCTAATTTGCCTTGATTCATGGACCTAACATTCCAGATTCCTATACAATATTGCTCTTTACAGCATTGGACCTTTCTTCCATCACCAGTCACATCCACAACTGGGTGTTGTTTTTGCTTTGGCTCCGTCTCTTTATTCTTTCTGGAGTTATTTCTCCACTGATGTCCAGTAGCATATTGGGCACCTACCGACCTGGAGAGTTCATCTTTTAGTGTCCTTATCTTTTTGCCTTTTCATACTGTTCATGGGATTCTCAAGGCAAGAATACTTAAGTGGTTTGCCCTCCCCTTCTCCAGTGGACCACAGTTTGTCAGAACTCTCCACCATGACCCATCCGTCTTGGGTGGCCCTACACGGCATGGCTCATAGTTTCATTGAGTTAGACAAGGTTCTGGTCCATGTGATTAGATTGGTTAGTTTTCTGAGATTGTGGTCAAAATTCCTCTCAATTTCAGTTGCTATTCTCATGTTGACCCGCAGAAATTTCCAGTGAATTCCCGTTGGAAATTTTGGGGTTCTTCTATCCCCTAGTCTGTCAAATGCTCCAATACTTACTTCTGCTTTCTTTCAGACAGAAGCTGATGCTCTGCAGGGCTTTTTGACACCAGTGGCATATCCACAAGCTACTGGTATTTGAGATTTGATAGGGATAACTTAACACCCAATTATATTGTAAATACTGCTCATGGAGTCAGGGTTTTGCTATCTAGCTGTTCTGGATGTTTTTATGTGGGGATTTAGGGAAAATAAAGAACTATGCTACTGCCACTGCCATCTTCCCAGAATCACTCAAGTGATTTTTTTCTTTACTGGACTCTTGGGTCTGGCTTTTTTCTTCCTTTTATATTATTAGACAGGAAACTAAAATACCAGGTGGTCTGGTTCAGTTCCAACACTTGGCAACTCCAATGCTTCCCCCAAAGACCAAAGACTCCAGGGGACCTGGCTTCACATCTAAGCTGAGGACATACTGGCTCTGGCAGGAGCAGCCAATTTTTAACACTGCGCTCTCAGAGCACTCACCGCCCTTCCCTTCTGTCTTTCCAGCTTGGGGCAGGCCGAGCAACACTCTCGGGCTGAGACTAGAAAACCGGGCCCGCAGTCTCGCCGAGGGGTCCTGCTGGACAACGCTGTTGTAGATGTGGCCTGTGCTCAGTCACTCAGTCGTGTTCAACGCTTTGCGGCCCCATGGCCCCATGCATCCACCAGGTTCCTCTTGTCTGTGGGATTTTCCAGGCAAGAATACTGGAGTGGTTGCCACTTCCTCCTCCAGGAGATCCTTTCAACCCAGGGATCAAACCCGAGTCTCCTGAGTCTCTTGCACTGACAGGCAGATTCTTTACAACTACACCGCCTGTGAAGCCCCAGGGACAGCCTAATTCTCTGCTATTCCACGTGGGGAATAACTGTAAAGGGATTTTTTGTTGTTGTTCGGCTGTGTTGCACGGCTTACCTAACGTCAGTTCCCCAACTGGAGACTGAACCTGGGCCACAGCAGTGACAGCCCAGAATCCTCACCACTAGGCCACCAGGGAACTCTCAAGCAAAGGGATTTTAAACTTCACTGTTACTTCATCCTTTTCACGAAGCAAGGGGAAAAAAAAAAACCAACTCAAAAATACAACAAGCAAATAAAGGTAAATAGATTATAGAAGCTACGCCATCAGCCAGCAAGGCCCATGAAGTCTTCTAGAGGAGGCAGAGGCATTGCAGCTTGATGCCTGCGAGGACAGACTAGCACTGCACTGCCCAGGACAGTGGTCACTGGCCACACACGGCTGAAGGGTTGCCAGCACTCCAACTTCAGAAGACACAGTGAGCTTTGAAGATTTAATGTGAAAAAATAACGTAAAGTACCTCCATAATTTCATGTTGCTTACAGACTGAAGTGACATTTTAGACGTACTAAGTTAAATAAAAAATATTTTTTAAACAATTTCACTTTTTTAATGGGGCTACTAAAAAATGTTTAATTGCATATGTGACTCAGAGTATATTCCTGCTGGTCTAGGAAATCAAAGGCCTTCCTAGGTGGTGCCAGTGGTAAAGAATCTGCCTGCCAATGCAGGAGATGGAACAGTTTCGGGTTCGAAGCCTGGGTCAGGAAGACCCCCAGGAGGAGGAAATGGTAGCCCACTCTAGTATTCTTGTCTGGGAAATTCCATGGACAGAGGAGTCTGGCGGTCCATGGGGCTGCAAAGAGTCTAACACACCTGAGCTACTGAGCACACATACACAGGATGCCAAAAGTCCTGGTTTTAAAGCCCGGACAGACAGTGCCACTTACTGTTCGTGTTAAGGGGTGACTTTCCTCTCTACGTATTCACCTGCTCACCAATATACAGGGAATAACAAATAGACCTGATTTGCAAGCCTGTTGTGAAAAGTAAGTTAGATTAATGCATGTAAACATTTAGTACAAGACCTAGACAAAGGAAGTGTTCCAAAGTGAGAGCTGCCCTTGTTATCATCACCTAACATCAAGTAAATAACCAGAAGATGAAGGTTTCAGACCTGGCTCTGCCCACATCTGGTTCTATGATCCAGGTTTTAAAAAAAAAAAAAGTGCTCGCTTCAGCAGCACATATACTAAAAAAAAAAAAACAAAAAAAAACCTCTTAGATCCTCTCTTTCTTAGAAAGTCAGGAGCTAATAATCTGCCTTATTGAGTTTTTCTAAGGACTGAATTCATCTCATCAACATGTATTTACTGAGCACCTACTATGAGCGAAGCACCGTTCTGGGCAATGGGGAGAGGGCAGTGAACAAGCCAGATAAAGTTCCTGTCCTTCGGGAGTTGGCAATCTAGTAGAGAAGAAGGGCCATGTGAAACACTATTACAGAGTGTAATGTCTGGAGAGGTAGGAAGGAAGCAGAGCAGGGTCAGGGCATAGGTGTAGAGATGCTACCTTAGCACATAAATCCCCTACCAGGGCTGGCGTCTTAAGAGCGATGATGAGACATGTGGGACGGCACCACCAGGACAGAGGAAGCAGCACAGGGCCCCGAGGCAGGGGGATGTCAGGTGAGCCTGTGTGCAGCTGGGCAGCAAGGAGGAGGGGCGCGAGAGGAGGCTTGGCCAGACTCTGGGGCACGGGGGCCTTGAGAGGAAGGCCAGGTCTCCTAGTCCGAGGGGACCTCGAGAGAGTTCTACACAGATTTAAAAGGATCCTTCAGACACTGAGAGAGGTGACCCATGTGCAGGGCTCAGCGCAGCCTGCAACAAGGTAAACGCAGGGGCAAGTGATGGCAGAGCAAACAGATGGGGCACACTCGGCTCCAAAGGCCCCTGGAGGGCACAACACCCGTTAGAGCAAGGTGCCCTGGAAGAAGTGGGCGTGGTCAGAAACACTGGAGAGTCCCCAGAGAAGCGCAGCCCGAGTCAGTACTTTGCAAGCGGGCCACCCCAGAGCCAGCATCCTCTGTCGACCCTCAAAGTGCAAAAGGAAGACTGCAGGTCACAGCTAAACGAGGAGCCTGGCCTGCTCCTCCAACGTGAAGCCCCACGGCCAGACCCACAGCAACACACTGGCTGGTGGGAAAACGATTTTGAAACATGTGTAATTACAAAATCTGTTCAAATGATATTGTCTATCATTACAGAGAACAGTCATTGTGAAAATATAGAAAGTACAAATAAAAAGAAATTAAATTCCAATCTTCTAGACTCTTACAACCAGAAACTACAGTCAGTAATGTGTTTGGCTATATAGATATTCAGATATTTGTGAATATGTAAACATCAAATATTTTCTTATACAAATATAAATATTTATGTGTTGTGCATGCTTGTTTAAAAACAGCACTATTCTCTATAACTTGTGCAGTAACCTGCTCCTTTCACATTTGTTGTTCAGTCGCTCGGTCGTGTCTGAGTCTCTGCAACCCCGTGGACTGCAGCATGTCAGGCTTCCCTGTCCTTCAGTATCTCCCAGAATTTGCTCAAACTCATGTCCATTGAGGTGGTAATGCCATCCAACCATCTCATCCCCTGTCGTCCCCTTCCTCCTGCCTTCAATCTTGCTCAGCAACAGGATCTTTTCCAATGAGTCAGCTCTTTGCATCAGGTGGCCAAAGTACTGGAGCTTCAGCTTCAGCATCAGTCCTTCCAATGAATATCCAGGGTTGATTTCCTTTAGGAAAGGTTTGACTGGCTAGCCAGGGTTTGACTGGCTCCTTTCACTTACTATTCATATGTATTGTATAAGCCTTCCAAGGTGGTTAAATTTCAACAGACAGCATTGTGGGGTTTTTTTACTCTTCCAAAGCCATTTATTATTTTGCTTTTATATAACTGTATAAAACATGTATCATACATTTCTTCCTTATTTCTTTTCCTAATTTTGATGTTCACAGCAAGGCAACAAGTATTCAAATTAATTCTGTATACAGATAGGTACAAAGGTTTTTCTGCTTAAACAGTTTTTCCAAATCAGGTATTAAAATACATCTACTGAAAATATTTATAGGATTTTTTCAGTTTTTAAAATTTTTACTGAAATATAGTTTACAATGCTGTGCTAGTTTCAGGTATCCAACAAAGTGATTCAGTTATACACACACACACACACACACACACACACATATTCTTTTTCAACACTCTCTTCCATTCTAGGTTACTCATTACAGATCCTGAGTATAGTTCCCTGTGTATCCTTTCTGATTATCTATTTTATATACAGTGTGTGCTCGGTTGTGTCTGACTCTTTGCAACCCCATGGACTGCAGCCCGCCAGGCTCCTCTGTCTGTGGAATTTTCCTTAATTTCTCCCTCCCCCCAGAGAGCATCCTTTTTTAATGCTCCATGGGATTCATAAAGTACTCATAAAGAATACTTTATTCAGCAATCCCCTATTGTCGAATAATACGGGTTGTTCCCAATTTGAGCAAACAACTGTGAGCGGTAATCACCACCCGCACCCCCCACCCCCCAAGCTTCCTGTGGTGGAGCCCGGCCTCCCGCATCTGTTCTGACACTTACAGCGAACTCCTCGGGAGTCACCTTCAGGACATCGAAGACGACGGCGTCGTAGCTCTTGCTGGCATAGTCGCAGCTCTGGCCCTCCAGAGAGTCTGAGCTGCTGCTGCCCTGCAGAGGACAGGGAGAGATGGGGCCGCCTGAGCAGTCTGGCTGACTCCACCATCCCGGACGCCCAAACCTCACAAGTGAGTGGCAGGACCGTACAATGACAGCTTCTGCTGTTTAGTGCTTTACGCTATTCCAGGCACTGTGTTAAGCACTTCATATGCATAATCTCACTTAATTCTCACAACAGCTCTCTGACGATGCACTATCATTAGTCCCATTCTACAGATAAGGAAGTAGGGGCCATGCCGCTTGCCCAACATATCTTAGCCAGGAAACTGAAGAGCCAGAGCGCAAGCCTGCTCTGTGTCTCCTTCAGTCGCTATACTGCAACTGCTTCCGGCGGCCTGTGAGGCGATGGCTGAAAAGATACAGCCCACCCTTCACACCTTAGGAGGCCTGAGGAGATCATCTGTTTTGTTACGTGTTTTTAAACATCAGCTGGTTTCACCTTGTTTTTTTCTACTTGAAGTTCATTGCAGGAAATTATTATACAAAATGTCAAATTGGCTCTCAAGGCTTGTTTCACGTAGGGGCCACTTGGAATTCAAAGCCTGTTAGCTGATGAGGTGAGAGGTAACTGGCTGACTTTGGAGATGGCGTGAAAATTATATTTAGTAGAGCCCCTTGTTAAGAAGAACACCGTGAGGCTGGCATGTAAAGGAAAGGTCTCCCATTAAAGAGCAAGTTAAACTCCCCAGATGTGGCCAGTTTCATGAAACCCAACACTGTGGGGATCCCAAAACGTTGAACGTACCTTCCCTTCAATTTTATTTAATTTCATCAAATTCTACTTTGGGGAACCAATCGAGCTTACCACCCCAAAACTGTGCCCTGTTCATAAACGGTTTTATTCGTCTCAACCCGTGAAGAGGGATTTTGTGGTTTCCATTAACCTCAACATCTTGGACTGAGATTTAGAGAATATGCTTTTATTAATTCCCCTTTATTTCACTCTTTCCAAAATGGCTATATCTGGAAAAACTTTGCAATCTTACTGGAAACTAGAGGGTTTTTAGGCCAGGGAGGGAAACCAATAGTCAACAACTGAAAATGTGAGGTTACAAGGAGGAGCTGAAGCTTAAACCTGTAGACTTCAACAGGCCTGTGTCATTTAGAGGCTTACAAAAGAGTCTACTATACCAAAATCTCTAAGATGATCTTAAGACGCTCTGAGCTCTGAAATCAGACAGGCCTGCTAAGAAAGCCAGCTCCAAGCAAGCTGCTGTCTGACCTCTTCAGTTCACTGTGCCTCAGTGACCATCCGTAAAAGGGCACCATTAGAAGCTCCTCTCCAGGGCTATGGCACGGGTTGTATAAAATGCAGCTTACAAAGCAGCTGGCAGGATCCCCTCCCTGGGTGACACTGATTCAAGGGACCTGGGAGTGGAGGGTGGGGGGATGGCTATTGCGATGGGACATTCTCCCCTAAGAGAGAATGTGTGCTGAACTTCTGAAAAGTAATCAAGACTAACCCTGAATACTTCTGGAATTGGCCGTCTATTCCATCGCTCAGTCTCGTGAACTCTGAGCTGGCGGCTACCAATAAATCTCTCTGCACGCCCACGATCCCCTCCCACGGAGCAGCCTGGAGCAGCTGACGCAGCTGACTTTCTTCCAGGGAGTGTCCTGTCATCGTGGTCGGGACCAGCGGCTCCAGAGTCACAGAGGCCTGGCTATCAACCCCCACCAGCTGTGTGATTTGAAGTCAGTTCATTCACTGCTCCCTGCCTCAGTTTCCTCACCTGTTAACTGGGGGTGAAACAACAGCACGTGCCTGCCGGGGTTATTGTGAGGATTAAATGAGATCACACCTGTGGAGTGCACCAAAAAAGTGCCTGGTATATAGTAAGCACTAAGTCATGGATGTATATCTGCATAAACATGTCACTCAGTCACCAAAATGTATTGAGCACTTCAAATAAGACATGTATTCACTCATAGGTTCATTTGACACATATTATTGAGCACTCACCACTTTCTGGATACACATGTATGTGCATATTCGTATAGATACACATATATGTACACATATACAGCATATATGTGTGTGATATGTGTATGGATTCATATGTATAAACAGAGACTAGAAAAGAAAGAAGTTTTACTCTAGATGGAATGTAAAGTGTAAATGGAAATGGAAGTCTGATTCCTCCAGTTACCAAACAGAGTCCATTCCTGGAATTTCAGATTTTATAACTTTCCTGTAACACCCCATTGCACCTGCCCCAAACACACACACTCATACAAGGGGCCTTATTAATCACAAGCTGCGCCAGATTCATTCAGTGGTGGTGGTGGTGGTGGTGATGATGCAGTAACTTTATTTAAACCTATATTGGCGCCATCTGGGAATTTTAACAGGTACCCATAAGTCTGCTTTCAGAACCACAGGTCAAACCAAGGAATCTTTTAAAAGGGTGATAAGAAATGGATTAACCCCTGTGACTTCTAGCTGACTGCACAGGCTCATTTCAAAAGCCCAGCTCGATTGGGAGGGCCTAATGAGCGCAGAACTCAGAGCTCCCCTCTTGCCCATTTGTCACAGAAGCCCGGCAGTGTTATACATCTGACAGGGCAGACTCCTGGGCCTCAGATGACAACCCCGCCCCCTGCCTGCCTCCGTTCCATTATGGAACTTGAAAAGCAAACTTCCAAACCCCAAGGGCAGGGGCCGAAGCCCAGGCCACTCTCAACCACCAGCCCTTACTGCCGTTTCCTCCTGAGCAAGGTAAACAGGAGCGCAGGGCCAGCTGGAAACCCTTCTGTCTGACTTCATCCCGGAATGTGCGACTTACTTATAATCAGCCGCGACTTGGCTTAGGAAAGGTCTGATCCCTTCTTGCCACCAAAATGGAATGTGGCACTTGCTACGACTGGATAGGGCAGGTATTTGCTTTTCTTTGAAGAGAGCAACTTCAGAAAACACCCTGATCCTCAGGGCTGACTGCCTCCCAAATCTCACGCCTGGCGTGGCTGGGAAGGCTAAGAATGGTGGCATTCACAGAGCTCTGCAACCCCCAGGCCTCGACTCAGGGGGCCTGGGTCAGATGCAAGGGCCCCTCCCCACAGCTCCCTCCCCCCCGACCCCATGTACCTGTGGAGTGGCGGAGGTGACCAACACGCTAGCCATCAGACCATTCCTCTTGTACATAGTCTCCGGGCCACAGGGAGCTTCAGGGCAGCCTCCGTCGGTGACATAACCTGTCTGGACAAGTCCTGCAAGGCAAAGGCACTCATAAAAACCAGTCTTCAAATCCAACTTAATCCCACCCTGGGAGAGAGCTGTGCTGGACGCGAGCAGGTGACCCCAAAGGATACCCTCAAAGAAAGGTTACAAGCTGTGGCCTTCAGGCTAAATACAGCCCACAGATGTGGTCTGTTAGATTTGTGCAGGTTTTAGAAATTTTTTTCAAATTAATTACCAACATTTAAAATTGAAATGTTTCACATAGAATTCTGGGTTTCTGACTTTCCTGGTGGCACTGGGTCCACTTTCTTGCCTGATGGCCATCAGCTGGACTGAGCAGCGCTGCTCATCGTACTGAAGGGCTTCCTAGGGGCGTTCCAGACTCCACTTGGCCTGGGCGGCCACCTGGGAACCTGCCTGCCCCTGCCAGGTGCTAGAGTTTGTGACCTCTGTTTCAGTCTGCTGCTACTGCTAAGTCACTTCAGTCGTGTCCGACTCTGTGCGACCCCATCCCCGGGATTCTCCAGGCAAGAACACTGGAGCGGGTTGCCGTTTCCTTCTCCAACGCATAAAAGTGAAAAGTGAAAGTGAAGTCGCTCAGTCAGGTCCGACTCTTCGCGACCCCATGGGCTGCAGCCTACCAGGCTCCTCCATCCGTGGGATTTTCCAGGCAAGAGTCCTGGAGTGGGGTGCCATGGCCTTCTCTGCTGTTTCACTCTACCGTCCTCTAAAGGACCAACCCGCCTTACACATCTCAAGGAATTCAACTGATGAAATAGTTTGAACTAATCAAGGGATAAAAATCTTCACATTCTGGAGACTTTATTTTCACATTTTTTATTAAATGCTGGACAGTATCATGAAAATGTTTTCAAGAAATCATTTTAAGTATACAGATCAGTGTTTCTTACAGGTGAAATGCTAAAATAAGCTGCCTACAATAGCTAGGGAATATATTTTTAAGTTGTGTAGAATATTAAAAATTAACAACACAAAAAAATGTTTAATTTATGCAACAAATACATTCACATAAATTTGGTAGGGCTTTTGAAAGAACTGATATTTGAGAAAAGATCTGGTTCACTTGCATTACATCGTACACTTATTATCCTTTCTTAGTATTAGGTGCCTCATACTTTAAATCTGTGACAAACCATGACAAATTTTTAAAGGGAAAGCATTACTGTAAAAATGGAAGAATTATGTAATCCTAAAGGCTGTATTCGGAGAAGGCAATGGTACCCCATTCCAGTACTCTTGCCTGGAAAATTGCATGGACAGAGGAGTCTGGTAGGCTGGAGTCCATGGGGGGCGCTAAGAGTTGGACACAACTGAGCAACTTCACTTTCACTTTTCACTTTCATGCATTGGAGAAGGAAATGGCAACCCACTCCAATGTTCTTGCCTGGAGAATCCCAGGGACGGGGGAGCCTGGTGGGCTGCCATCTATGGCGTCGCACAGAGTCGGACACGACTGAAGTGACTTAGCAGCAAAGGCTGTATTGCTATACATTTAAATGATAATGCTCTGCTTATTTAGAGTTTTGAAAAAACAGCCTCTCTTCAATTAAACATTTTTATAATGGAATGATGTAAACTGACGTGATAAAGACTATTATTAAAATAAAATCTTTATATAAGAAGACAGGTAACGAAGACAAACTAAATCTACCATGTTCCCTATGCACCAGAGTATTTCATCAATAACAACATGGATACTGGCTAAGACCCGTAGAAGTCTCACCACGGGCCATGTGCTTTACCTCCAGTAATTCCTCTAACACTCACGGCATCCTCGGGTGGGTCTTGTTACTACTCCCATATTCCATGTGGGGACTCTGAGACCCAGAGAGGTTAAGTAACCTGTGCCCTGCCATCCCACCAAACCATCATCATTCAGGACCTGGCTCAAATGTCCAACATCATTTCCCCTGGTTATCGCGCCTGAGCCACTCAAACCAGAACCACGGTTCACCTGCCAATGAGCACACGCCCCTATAGGGCATTAACCACATCACCAAGCATCAGGGCACTGTAGCCACCACCAGCTTTTGAGCAGGAGGGAGCCCAGGACATAACAAGGGCAGGAAAGGAGAAGGCAAAGGGAAGCCTGGAAGCCAACTGCAATTATCAGGCAGGCGACGAGGGGCCTCTGCACTAAGGTGGCAGCAGTGATGTGAAAAACAAGCACACGGGCTGAGAGGCGGTAAGGACAGACACACAACAGACACTGATGGGTGGAGGAGAGAACCAGCTGAGGACGCATGGCTTCTGGCTCCAGGTACCAGACGATGCTGTGCACCTCATCGAGAAAATAAACAGAGGCGGTGTGGCAGGTTTGTGGGAAAAGATGATGAATCTGATTTAGGACATGCTGAATCCGTGCTGCCCATGAGAAAACCCATTCTGGGGAGCACGGTCAAACCCAGAAGTCTCTGGGAAAGATGGGCTGGGGGTAGATCAGAAAGAAGAAAGTACCAGGCCAATCTGGACTGCCTGTTATCTTCCCAGAGCCCTCAGCCCATCACAGAGCCCTGTGCCACCAGGAAACAAGTCAACAATCAAAAAAGGTCAATGCAACCCGGGCTCTGTCCCCATAGTCCCCAAACCACTCCCTCTTCTTCTTCAACCTTCTCCTCAACCACAGCCAGTGGGCCTCCTCCCTGCCCTCCTTTATCCCAGAGCACTCAAAAGAACTAAGCTGAGCTACAAATGACACCTGGGGCTCATCTGGGGAAAGCTGAATATGGACATTCAGTTCAGTTTAGTCACTCAGTCATATCCGACTCTTTGCGACCCCATGAACTGCAGCACACCAGGCCTCCCTGTCCATCACCAACTCCCGGAGTTTACTCAAACTCATGCCCATCGAGTCGGTGATGCCATTCAGCCATCTCATCCCCTGTCATCCCCTTCTCCTCCTGCCCCCAATCCCTCCCAGCATCAGGGTCTTTTCCAATGAGTCAACTCTTCACATGAGGTGACCAAAGTATTGGAGTTTCA